CAGAAATGTCTAGTCCACTGGTTGGATCACGTTGCCATCCTGCCAGAGTATCCACAATCTCTAGGTTCTCCTATGGTTCATGTACAACATGCATTTAACTACTTGACTGCTGAGGGATTGCCTGTAAAGAGGATGTAAGGGGGTTAACCAAAAGGAATCTGTATATTTTAGAGAGAAAGGAGGGAAAGGGATTTAAAAAAAAAGAGAGAAAATAAAAATAACAATTATTTATATATATATATATATATATATATATATATATATATATATATATATATACTTTCATAATAGGTAGCACTCAATTGTTAAAGGGTCCATCTTCATTCTTTTTAAAATCATTAAAATCAAGATCAACGCTTTCAGTCCTATTAAGCCAGTGGACTTCTCAACAGACCAATGCTATTTTCGCTATATATATATATATATATTTATTTTAAACAAATAAAATCTTTCAACATTGAAGTTGCTGTTTAGTGGATAGGTGAGTGCGCTGGATCTTGTGTATTATATATATATATATATATATATATATATATATATATATATATATATATATGCCCATCCCATGTGTTCCCTGTTAAGGGTTAATAAGCATGTAGGGATGTATATATAAAAAAAATACCCCTTTCTGTCTTATTGGAGATATCTTTGCCAGAAGTTCAAGGAAGCACGGTGAATGGTTAGTTAGGACCCACCTTAGAGGTCTGCCTTGACGTGGCAGGTGGGCTTACCCTCTCATGGCCATTGGGTAAGCTGGAGGTAACTAAAAACCTCTATTTGTTTAAAAATGTGTGTGTGTGTGTGTATATATATGTGTGTGTATATATATATATATATATATATATATATATATATATATATATATATATATATATATATATATATATATATATATATTGCACGCAGTCTGTAGGAGGTATGAGTGTGTGGTGGTGGGGCACGCAGTCTATAGGAGGTATGAGTGTGTGGTGGTGGGGCACGCAGTCTGTAGGAGGTATGAGTGTGTGGTGGTGCACGCAGTCTGTAGGAGGTATGAGTGTGTGGTGGTGGGGCACGCAGTCTGAAAGAGGTGTGTGTGTGTGTGGTGTTGGTGGGTAAGGCAGTAGATGACATGCCCGTAACTAGTGGTGAAGTTCTGTCAGATCCAATGTGCAAATGGGGTGCTACCTTGATCAGCCGCGGTGCTGACAGTCTCACCCATGGCAACCTATGTGTAGCTTATCCATTGAGTCACTTCTGCTACACCTATTGGGGCTTTAGCTCTGTGTCCCCAGAAGAAGGAACCAGATATCAGACCTGGAGGAACAGAACTGAACTGTAAAATGTAGTTATGGGAATGTGATGAGCCCACACTTGCTCTTCTAAGGGGGAAAAAAAAACCTTTATACCTGCTTTTCATAATGCCCAGACTTTCACACTTCTAACTTTGTCAAACAAGTTACATCTTGAAATCTGTTTCCTTTCATCAACGCTGTGATCTGTGCAGTACTGCCGATGGCATCATCTCAGTCATCATATCCTTGATGGATCAACAGGCAGCGCAAATGTTGCTGAAATCCAGCACTCTATCACATAGCTACTCTCCCTTATTAAGAAACCTGTTCCTAGTGTGTACACAGAAAATACCAGTCTGAGTCCTTAATAAATGGAACCAGCGCTTTACTTTGCATGTAGTAATCTTCCGCAGCTGATTGAACTCTGTGAAAGGTTTGATATACAGTGTCTTCGTGTTAAGATCAGTGCTGATTGATGGGGCAGTGACTTATCAAGTCAAAAAGTAGCAAAAATAGCAGACCTATTGCAGCTCAAGAGACATGTTTTCGCTGGAGGAAAACTAAACTGCTTATTGAGTCCTTCTGTAAATAATGATCTATTAGAATGTTCCCCGTCTGTGACAGTCTCAATGCAAGCTCAATTTTAACATATACTCACAAGAGACCAAACTTTGTACTATCCAGGTACTTTGATGTACGTGTACATCAGGAACTACAATGAGAACTTTCTCACTGCACTAAAGGCACAGCTGGACTATGTTACCCCTTTCAGTTTACTGCTGTTCCATACTGAGTGAATAAACCCCAAAGTAAATGTAACGTTTTGTGACTTGCTGGGTTACTGTCAAATGTGTTTTTCAGGACTGTTCATAGTCCTATGCAGTCTGTCTGAGGTTTCATTTTTATTTTCGATTTGTTTCCAGATCCTTTAGCGATGGGTCCCCAGAAAGCCCTGGAAACCATTGGGGCAAACCTGCAGAAGCAATATGAGAACTGGCAGCCTCGGGTGAGTCTTCTCCTGATCTTCCTGATACTGTGTAAATGAAGAGCTATCACCATGGAAACCAGATGCATGTTCCCACTGATTGCTCTATATAGCAAACTCTCCCATAGCCTTCAGTTGTTTAAGAATTCCCTCTAAACACATCTGTTCAGAAATGCCTATGGACTACCAGAGTAACTTCTTTCATAATATTGTAAAGCGCTGCGGAATGAGTTGACGCTGTATAAATATCTATAATAGAAATATATGGCTCTACCCTAGAATTCCTCTTAATCTGTGTAACGGACCGTTTAGGCGATATTCCCCCTTTTCAGCTGTACAGACAGCTACTGCAAACCCACGAATTCACCAACTCCCGAACTGCAACCAAGGGAATACTCGAAACTCCCGAACTAGAGACACACGAATAGCTGCTAGCAGACGAACAGGAAAAGCCCCCAAGCGATTTACACTCCTGGCAATCAGTCTCTAACAGCATACAGTAAATCCTCCCTCAATAATGAGACGACACTTCACTTTAAGGGTTAAGCAGGAACTCCTTTACTGGGGCTAACTGCCCGGCTTTTATGCAGGTCTCCCACCTGGTGGACACTCCCCTAGGGGACCAAATGGGAGACTGGGACACAAAGGGTAAAAGGACCAATCACAGACTTACACATTTCAACCATCCCACAATGCATCACAATCCCTCCTCTCTGCCCTGGAGATAATTTGGGAAGTAATTCAATTATCTCCAAAGACAGAGGCAAAACTCCATTAACCACGTGGCAGAAAACAAACGGTAAAAGACATAAAATTACCTACAGTTAGATTCAGTACATAAAACGTATATGTTCTACATATCCCCAGATAGCTCAGGTCTGAGCGCACATTATTAAGCGAATGGCGCTCAGACCACACGAATACAGTTTAATCGCCATGGAGCCAAAGTCTTTACACAGTCAGTTTCATGCGAATGGGCTCCATGGAATTCCTATCTGGGGCACAACACACTCAAACAAAACTACCGAACACCGGGCCGTTCGTGCACTTTCACCGAACAAAAAGGGAGGTCGGCGGCTTCAGCGGTGTTCGTGCCAAACTGTGTCCGATTTCAGTTCCATGAATTAAGCGTCGAACACCGCTGTGCATTCACATGTTTAAAATGGCCGCGACCTCGTGTTCGTGATACGAATGGCGGCCACCCAGCATTCGTCAATTAAGCTGTGGTTAACCGCAGCTTCAAGGAGGCTAATTGCCTGCACACTCCAGCTCCCAAGTGGTCTATTCATTCGTGCGGTTGTTCGGTAGATTGAATCTACCGAACACCCGGCAGAAAAGCACGAGTAGGTCTTTTCTGCAGGGAAAAAAGATGTCTTTTAACATGGGGCCATAGTCCAAAGGCAGCAGGCGAGTAACCAGGCTTCTCCAGTGTACAGTGGCGAGGTTGGTTTCGCCACACTTCTCCCCTTTACCAATCAGACTAACAGGGTATCTGACCTCATGCCGGTCAGTGCCCTTGTTAGTCCAGCAGCCCACCCACAAAACACAATCAGTAATACAGCCCACCCACAAGCACTGGTTACTACACCTGGGTAGAGGAGAACGTTGTCCATGTCCAGGCGCCTCACCATGGCTGTGTGGGTGACTGGTAAGCGGACTGGGTGGGTTGCTGAGTGGGCAGAGACCAGCGGTACTCTGTCCTGGTGCCAGCACTACCACGGGAGTAGTTTGGTTGGAGCCTGGTTGCTGGAGGGGAAGACCGACTGTCTCCCCTTTGGCTAAACAGCCCTGTCGCTGGGGGGCAAAACCGACCGTCCCTACCCCCTGTGCTGTAAGTGCAGAGACCACGGTCCCATCTGCACGGTTGTGGGACTTCTCATCTCCCCTTGGTGGGCTAGGCCGCCGCAGGGAAGTATTCTCCCCTCCGGACCGGCTGTCCGTACTCCCTGTAGCTTGGGCGCAGAGACCACGGTCCCATCTGCGCCGGTGGGGAGCTTAATGTCTCTCCTTGGTGGGCTACGCTGCCGCTGTGGAGAGGGGGCAACAAGCTCTTCTCCCTGACACTCTCCCTGCTGGGGGAGAGGGGAACCGACTGTCTCCCCTTTCAATATATTGTCCTGCCGCTGGGGAGGGAGGACGGTACCCTGGGACTCACTTGACTGCTGAGGAGAGGGACCAACTGTCTCCTCTCCTAAGAACACACACGGCCGCTGGGGAGGACGGACGACACCTTCAGCTCCCTGGGACACACACTGCCGCTAGGGAGGAAGGACGACACCTTCAGCTCCCTGGGACACACACTGCCGCTGGGGAGGAAGGACGACACCTTCAGCTCCCTGTAATACACACTGCCGCTGGGGAGGAAGGA